GAAAAAACAGAAAGCGTACAGAGAATGGAAGAAGGGAGGGATCAGCAAGGAAACCTACCTTATTGAGGTTAGAGCATGTAGGGATGCGGTGAGAAAGGCCAAAAGCCGTGTAGAGGTGGACCTCGCGAGGGGAATTAAATCCAATACTAAGAGGTTTTATAGCCATATAAATAGGAAGAAAACAAAAAAAGAGGAAGTGGGACCGCTGAAGAATGTAGATGGAGTGGAAATTAAGAATAATCTAGGCATGGCACAATATCTAAATGAATATTTTGCATCGGTCTTTAATAAGGCTAATGAAGGGTTTAGGAATAGAGGGAGTAGGACAGAGGGGAATAAAGGAGGGGGGATTGACATTACAGTATCAGAGGTGGAAGCCAAACTTGACCAGCTAAACGGGACTAAATCGGGCGGACCGGATGATCTTCATCCTAGAATATTGAAGGAACTGGCGCGAGAAATTGCAAGCCCCTTGGCGATAATTTTTAATGAATCTGTAAACTCAGGGGTGGTACCGTTGGACTGGAGAATAGCTAATGTGGTCCCTATTTTCAAGAAGGGGAAAAAAAGTGACCCGGGTAACTACAGGCCTGTTAGTTTAACTTCTGTAGTATGCAAGGTCTTGGAAAAAATTTTGAAGGAGAAAGTAGTTAAGGACCTTGAGGTGAATGGCAATTGGGACAAATTACAACATGGGTTTACGAAAGGCAGGTCTTGCCAAACCAACCTGATCTCCTTCTTTGAGAAAGTAACAGACCTTCTAGATAAAGGAAATGCGATGGATCTAATATACCTCGATTTTAGTAAAGCGTTTGATACGGTACTGCATGAGGAATTATTGGTTAAATTGGAAAAGATGGGAATCGATAGGAAAATCCAGAGGTGGATAAGGAACTGGTTAAAGGGGAGACTGCAGCGGGTAGTACTGAAAGGCGAACTGTCAGATTGGAGGGCGGTCACCAGTGGGGTTCCTCAAGGTTCGGTTTTGGGTCCGATTTTATTTAATCTATTCATTACTGACCTCGGAACCGAATGTAGAAGTTGTCTGATAAAGTTTGCGGATGACACAAAGTTGGGAGGTATTGCCAACTCGGAGAAGGATCGGGATATTCTGCAGGGAGACTTGGATGACCTTGTTAATTGGAGTAATAATAATAGGATGAGATTTAATAGTGAGAAGTGTAAGGTGATGCATTTAGGGATGACTAACAAGAATTTCAGTTATAAGCTAGGGACGCATAGGTTAGAAGTGACAGAGGAGGAGAAGGACCTCGGAGTCCTGGTTGATCGCAGGATGACTATGAGTCGGCAATGCGACGTGGCTGTGAAAAAAGCTAATGCGATCTTGGGATGCATAAGGCGAGGTATTTCTAGTAGGGACAGGGAGGTGCTGCTTCCGTTATACAAGGCGCTGGTGAGACCTCACTTGGAGTACTGTGTGCAGTTCTGGTCTCCTATGTTTAAAAAGGATGAACTCAAACTGGAACGGGTACAGAGAAGGGCCACTAGGATGATCCGAGGAATGGAAAACCTTTCCTATGAAAGGAGACTCGAGGAGCTTGGTTTGTTTAGCCTAACCAAAAGAAGGCTGAGGGGGGATATGATTGCTCTCTTTAAATATATCAAAGGGATAAATACCAGGGAGGGAGAGGAATTATTTCAGCTCAGTACTAATGTGGACACGAGAACGAATGGATATAAACTGGCCGTGGGGAAATTTAGGCTTGAAATTAGACGAAGGTTTCTAACGTTAGAGGGGTGAAATTTTGGAACAGCCTTCCGAGGGAAACGGTGGGGGCGAAAGACCTCTCTGGCTTCAAGATTAGACTAGATAAGTTTATGGAGGGAATGGTTTGATGGGATAACGTGATTTTAGTCAATTAGGCAATAACGGCCATCGCTGGTAAAATGAGGGTCTGGCTAGAGAATCTTGCCTGTATGCTCGGGGTTCTGCTGATCGCCATATTTGGGGTCGGGAAGGAATTTTCCTCCAGGGTAGATTGGCAGTGGCCCTGGAGGTTTTTCGCCTTCCTCCGCAGCATAGGGCAGGGGTCGCAAGCTGGAAGATTCTCTGCAACTTGAAGTCTTTAGATCACGATCTGGAGACTTCAACAGCAGAGTTAAGGGAAAGTGGGGGGGTCAGCTTTTGTGGCCTGCATCATGCGGGAGGTCAGACTAGATGACCATATTGGTCCCTTCTGACCTTAAAGTCTATGAGTCTATGAGATGCACACTTCACAGTAACATTGTTATTTTAATCTTGCTGAAGTCAAAAGCCCATGTTTCTAACTTGAAAGTCTGAGATCCAAGTTACGGTGAAATTGTGAGGAATTGGATATGTGCTTTGTGGGTGGCTGTAATTGGAAATGGAGTGGGTTTAAACTGAGGAGTCTGTATTTGAGGCTGATCTGGGTGTTAATGTTGTCTTAACTGCTGACTCTTTTTTTTTTTTTTAAATGATTGCAGTGATAGGAAATGCACTAAAGCAAACTTAACTGTAAGTTAGAGATGTCTTGTACATGGATTTGTATACACATTTCCCCCTGCTTATCAGTGGACTTCCCGAATAAGGTTAGAGGCTAAATAATAACACCTCAGACTTTTATGTATCTGTAGCAATTATCTAGTTAATACAAGCTGATTATGTTTCTCAAAAGGAAATAAGTGAAATACAGACCTTTGAGAAACCATAAAGATCTTAGAGAAATTGTTTTCATTTAATGGGTTATTCTTCATAAACATAGTTGTGGGAGTTATGGTTTAGGGTATTCTGAAATTTTAAAGTTTTCTGCTGGAGAACTCTATTACAGTGTATTGAAGTTTTCTTCATTGTGAAATAGTGAGGTAGTGCCCAATCTAAATGATGCATTTTAGAACATGTATTGGAGACAGGAAACAGTTAAATTTTGTGAGGTTTTGGTATCAGCAAATATATTTGATATTGATTTTTCAGTTTTGTTTTCTGACAGTACTTGGGAGCCTCTTTATTTTAGTGCTCAGTTTTTAAGGGCAGTTATTGACTTCCAAATAAAACTGGATGTTTGTTTATGAAAAAATCCAAGGCAGTAAAATTGCACTTCTAATGAGCTGTCACTGTGTACAAGAACCTATGGATTTTTATATTGTTAAGTAACCAATGTTGGCTTATTTTACAATAGCTGCTAGGCTTGTACATATATGGTGTTTGTTTACTCAGCATTTATTAATTTAACATAGACATTCTGTACATACTTATTTTTGTGGGATTTAGGGTTTTTTTCCCTCTCCATGTCAGTACTTTGAAACCCTCATTAGTCCAAATATGTGAAATTTGACTCACTGCAGCTCTTGTATTTTGCAGGATGACTTTCACTTGGTCTATTTAACTTAACTAAGGTATTTAAAAGAAATTGCTTCTCATTTTTCTCAGTGCAGCTCTTGAAAGTTAATATAGTTCCCTCAAATCTGATAACTTTTATAAAGTTTAACATTTTAAATAGGTACTTGAGTCTCTAGCTATGAGTTACATTGCTATATTTCTGAAGTGTGAATTACTGGCAAAAATCCAGTGTGAAAAGCACTAGGTGTAAACTGACTTCCAACTACACTTATTTTAATAACTGGAAAAGAAATATTGCTGATTGCACCTTGGATACTTTTTAAAACAGAATGACAACTGGCATAGCTTGTATGACTGAATGTTCAGGGCTTCCTCCTGTTAATGTCACAAATAGTGTCGCTTTTTGTCATTATGCTCATGGCCAAAAGGATCTCCAAATGGAAAACTTTATTTTTGCTTACTATTCAGTTCCTAAATTGAGACTAGCAAGATGGATGCAACTTTTTTTTAAATTCTCTTCTACTGTCTTGTGAGACAGTGTATTTTCTATCTTGCTATGAACATAGACTCCAAACTTTCCTCATTCCTGAGTTTTGCTTTATTTTTAACTCAAATAACAACCAATTATGAACTTCAGTTTAAGCTTTCTCTCCTGTTTGGTCATTTCTAGGTTTTTCCTAAGACCTCCATCCCAGACCTTGGTTCATTTTTCTCAGTGAGATGCTACAACTCTTCTTGTATCATGGCTGAAACTAAAAAAAATCCACTTGCTAGTATGACTTAGCAGTAACTACAATGCAATATTCAAGCACTAATATCAGAATGGCTCAACAAAGCAGCAGTCCTGTCGCCATCCTGTTAATTTCCTTTGGGTTTAAATAATTTTGAGAGACTTTTTTGTGTTTTCATTGATCCGGTTTTCTTTCAGAATTTTATCACTGAAAATTTCAGCTCAGAGTCAAGTGGAACACTGCTTGTGCAACAAACTAAGTTGCAGGATAACCTAGAGAAAAGTTTTCACATCTGCAGCTGTCATTCACTAACCACATTAGATATATGTTGGACAAGAAAATGGACATGGGGGAAATATCCAGATAATGCATAATTTAAGTTGTTGCACTATTAGTTTAAAACATTATATATAAACTTAAATGTGTGTGTGTGTGTGTGTGTGTGTGTGTGTGTATGTATATATATATAAAAACTAAAGGGATAAAATCACTGCTCTTTCGTTTCTAAGATTTCCGTTCAATTTAATATAATTTCTGAAATTTAAATAAGTTTGGTCTCAGCTGAAATCTGTATTGTAATGTCACAATTTTTAATTTAGATAATACTCTGCTCTCTAAAAAACCTTATACTAAATGAGATTAAGCCTAAATTTGTTCTGCCTCTGGAAAAGGACAGTATTTAAAAGTTAGGACAGATTAATTGGCAGAGTGGTGTGGATAAAGTGGATATTCTGTCTTTATTTCTCTCTCCATTGACTAGGAGTATCATTGGATAGGTCTTTGAATGAATGGATTTGTCATCCATAGAAATTTAGTAAATGAAAAGATACTAAAATTAAGGGGGAGAAATCAATGCAGACCCATTTGTTGGTTCTTGCTCTTAGCGGGTTTATTCAATAAACCTTAGGTGCAAATTGCTCAAGTGAACTAATGCTCATCTGTTCTCTTAGGGCTGGATCCTGCATTCCTTGGGCAACCAAAACCTCCAAGTAAGTTAATGATTCAAAACATAACCCTGCTATATAGTTTGATTCTGAAATATCTCTAGGGTTATCTAATAGACTTCCTGCCAGGAAGTATGTTCTGTGAATCTGTTCAGATAGTAATCCTGCAAAGCTACTGTTGAAAGTAATATCAGGAGTAAGAATCCTACCCACCTTGGAAAGCCTCCTGACTTACTCTGTTTGTTATGTCTGTTGATTATCAAGAACCGTTGCAGAGGGGGTTCATTTGATCATTTAGTGACTTTTTGTGGGGTTCTGTGCAAGGGTCTGCGTACTGCTTGTCCTGGCAGGATTAGGGCATAGTGTACAGTTGCCACATTTGTGCAGCACCATGTATGATATTTTGTGCAAATTATTTAAATAGGCTAACTTATGTGTACGGAAATTCACATATAACTATTAAACACCATAAAAATTGTACAAGTTCAGTGCAGGTGAGAGGCATGTGCTTGAGAACCCTGATGGATGAAGTTCTCTCTCAGTAGAGCAACTGCAGCAGAAGCAGGGGCAAGCTTCTTACACACACCGGCTGCCAGCATATCCCAGCACAGATATGTTGGGAGGGGGAGAATTCTTTTAAGAGTAACAGGTAGTTCCAACTCCATGGCCATTTTGAGACTGAGGTAGAATTCCTGAAAGTATGTTTCTTTTAGTACATTTTTACCCTTTGGGGGATTACATAGGCAGGGTCACCAACTCTGCACTCACAGGCAAAATCTCCCACATTGTTTGGAGAACAGCAAGAATAAACTATAATTAAATGCTCCATCCTGTTCCTTAGAGATATCTACCATTATCTAAAATATACAGGTACTAAAAAAAAGAATAAAACAAATACTAGCATAGATCTTAATTCACTTCTAAATGCTACATTTTGCAATATAAAATTACTTCAAAAACTATTTTAGGGTCCTCACACAAACTTATATTTCTCCCTCCCCCTTCCCAAATAGGTGATCATCAGGACTTGACCCCACAATATTCAGATCCACAGAGAGACCTCTTCTACATGCTTTATAAGAGGAACTGCTAGGGCAAGCATGCTCTTATCACTTAAGTGAAGCAGCCCATAGAAGGAGACATAACATGCTTTTCCAGTTATACAACTGTTTGTGACATTACTCCTGGGGGAATTCTGCACCTCTGCGCGTGCGCAGAATTCATGTCCGCTACAGATTTCTTTGCTTCCCTGCAGAAAAATGACTTTGTGACAGGGAAGCTACAAGAGCAGTCATGCACCACTCCCTAGCAGTGCAGGTACATCATTTCAGGCACCTGGAGCAGCCAGCAGAGAGGTTGGGGACACCCAAGCCAGTGGCTCCTATCCTGAGCCGGGATCAGCTGCTAGTCCTGGCTGGGCTGGAGGCAGGAGAGCACAGGCCTTCCTCTTCCCCTGCAAGGAGTGGCTGGAGCTGTGTCAGACCCACCCGCAGAAACCTCCCCAAGCTGCAGGAAGCTCAGTATCCTCCCCTGCTTCCTGCCCCCATCACTCATCAGCTGTGGGGAGGAGGGGTCATTGTATGGGGAGCTGCTCCCCCATCCACCCAGCCCCTGTGCATCTGGATCTCCCATACCCAGACACCCCTTTCAAGCCTTACCCTGTACAACCAGAACCTCCCTAAGCTTCCATACCCAAACCCCACCCCACTGAACCTCAACCCCTGCACCTGGAACCCCCACAACGAGCCTCTGTGCATCCAGATCCTCTCCATACCTAGACCCCCCACTGAGCTGCCTGCACCCAGATTGTCCCACACAGAATCCCCTCACCCCACACGTGTATCCTCCACACTGAGCTCCTTCACACTTGGATCCTGCCTGGTTGAGCCTGCCTTCCCCACACCTGGCGCAGAGGGGCAGGGCCCCAGGGTGTTTCTGGGGCAGGTCCAAGCCTTGTGCTGTGTCAGGGTTTTGTGCAGCCTCGCCGTTGAGTCTGTGTCCCAGGGGTGGGGTGGGGGGACCTGCAGGTTGATCTTCCACCTTCGTGCAGCCAGTGGCCTGTGCTCCCCACTGCCATGCTGGAGCCTCTGCATTTATTTATTGACAAATAAAACTTGCAGAATTTAATTTTTTTGCACAGAATGCCCTCAGGAGTACGACATACAGTGGCATGTTGAGTTATAAGGATTTGGCTTCTGGCTCTGTGATGAGAGTCGGTTCTAGTTGTGAGAGCCAGCATCACCAAGTCTAACAGATCAATTTGGTCATCTGTAGGAACTGAACCTGGGATCTCTATCACTTGAGTTCCATTCATATCGAGGCAGCAAAAGACTCATAAACTTGTACACATGATCTAGCCTCCAGATAGGGACAAAGAGACCCAGGGTTACAAATACTTTTTCAGAAAGGCAGTGTGAATCAGTGGATGAAATTTAGGTCTGTCATATCAGAGAACTGGGTTCTATTTCTAGCTCTACTTGTGGTGGCCTTATGAAAACTCTGTTACCTTATTTGTAAAATGGATGAATGATAGTTGCCTCTCTTATGAAAAGGGTGTGAAGTCTTGCTCATTATTAGCGGAAGAGATGGCTCTCATATCTCTTGCCTTATAGTTTGTTGTACATTCCTCTAGGCTACAGAGTATTGGGAGGGATGGTCTATCCCTCCCCCTCAGTGTGTGACATTTTACTCTTTCTGCCTGGTGCATGATAGACCTCAGTGCAAAAATGCATGACACTGGCAGGTCTGTTAGTGCTGTAAACAACATAACTTCTGTTAGACTGACAGTCTGAGGTAAGGGATGGGAGGGGAGGTGAAATATGGACAAATCATCTTCAGCATGCACTGTTGGAAGGAAAGGAATTAATCACCTAATTTTTGAAAGCCACATACAAAATCTTTGTGAAATTGCCTCTTTTTCCCATTATTAGCATTTGGAGGAAAATATACTCTGGCCTAGGGAAATAGTGGAATTTTACCACGAGTCCTAAACATTAATGACTGATAATATTGGTGGTGAAGCACCCTGCTGAAGTTGGACAGATTTCAGATCACAGTATTAAAAAAAATTCCAATCATATTGTTTTGACACATACATTTAAAGAAAATAAATCTATAGTTTTTCAGCCTGCTAGTTTGTAAAAGGCACAGTGTTTTCAGTTAAATGTAACATGATTATTTTTTTTTTATTATTTTATTTTAAAGACTTATTTTGCTGAGGGTCCAGTTTGTTCTCTTGTTCAGGAATGTCAGAGTCTAATGTTCTGTTTTGTATAAAACAAGCTGAATTTGTTGTTTCTACATGAAGTTTTTTTACTTTATAGGAAACTAATGATTGATTGTGGTCATAGTGAAGATTCTGTCTAATATCTACAAACAATTTAAATGTTTAGGTGTTTTAAATTTTATTTTGTAATTCATGTACAAAAATTATTGTAACAACTTTCTCCCTAAAATATCCCACTAGCTGGGATTGATTTTTTTTTCTCTTTTCCCACAAGATGGACTTTTTGTTTTTCTTTTTACTGTGTTTTGCATTTACTTAAAATTTAACAAGAATTTGTATGGTCAGGTGTTCTTTGCTTCCTGAGGCACTATATCAGCTACTTCCAAAACTGCCATCATATGCTATCTTGCTCTTCTCCCGCTGCCACCTTTTGTTTAAAACCAAATAAAGGGCCCAGTCCTGAATTGCATGTGCACTCAAAATTCCCACTAATGTTTTGGGTGCATAAGGATAGTAGGATCAGGCCATAAAATGTTAAATGGTGATAAAGTGAAAATATCCTTTGAGATAACAACTTCATCTTGCCAGGAGTGATGGTTTTTTGGATGATAATGTAAAATAGCATTAGGTTTATGTGGAGTGTATATTCTTAATTTTATGGAAAAGGTGAACATGGAGACTTTATGCCTGGGCTAGTATGTTTTTATGGAGATTTAGCAAAGTTGCCTTAGGGCATGTCTACACTACAGCAGCACACTATGACGCTGCAGTGCCACAGTGTAGACACTTCCTACGTCGACTAAGGTTTTTTCCATCAGTGTAGTTCATCTATCTCTCTGAGAAGCAGAAGATAGGTTGACAGAAGAATTCTTCCATTGACCTAACAGCTTCTATATCAGGGGTTAGGTGGATCTAACTGTTGCATTCAGGATGTGAAGTTTTTCACAGCTCTGAGTGACATAGCATTTAAGTGTAGACCAGACCTTTACAGTCTTGGTTAAATGTTTGATGAGTTTTCACTGCCCCCAAGGTGACAGTTTGATTTCATCTCATAGTTTGTGCTGCTCCGTAGAGAATTTACTGGTTGTTACAAGCCACATTGGCATCTTCAGGAAGAAGCCTTTTTAACTGAAATTAGTTAGAAGAGGTTTTTACTTAGTATTGCTATAACAAGGTGACAGCCTTTTTTGGTTATATAGTTTAACAGCTCAGGTTAAATCCATCTCATAAAGGAAAACCACTATCATAGTTCGTATCAGAAGTTCTGAAAAGTAAATAAAAATATCAGTATGGATGAATTTTTTTTTTTTAGGAAAAAAGTGAGATGTGTACACTAGTTTTATGATTGTTTGGATATATGAGTAATTTCTACAAGTATTAAAATATTTATTCCAACTTTCAGAGTATCTTCTTTTATTTTTAGATGAATCTGCGTTCTGTATTTACTGTAGAACAACAAAGGATATTACAGCGTTATTATGAAAATGGAATGACAAATCAAAGTAAAAATTGCTTTCAGCTCATATTACAGTGTGCACAAGAAACTAAGCTGGACTTCAGTGTAGTCAGGGTAAGTACTGAGGCCTTCCACACTTGAATTTACATAATTATTTAACAAGTACATTTGTTTACATAAAATATCTGTAGAGGATGGAATCATTAACTTTCTTTTTTTTAAAAAAGGCTTCCATCCTCAGCTGTAATATATGCTCATTTTTTCCTGAGAGAGGGCTGCTTGTAGTCTGTGTTCCTATGAACACTTTTACGTTATTGAAGTATTAGTAGGGACTTTCATGCTGTGCAAGCAGCAGGGATCCCTTCAAGAAAGTTAAATTCCAAATAGGGTTTTCCTGCTGAAAACCTAGATTATATATCACATAAAGTGAATGTTGTTTATATCAGGAAACCACTTTGAAATAGAATAGAAATTTTGTATCCTTTAAAAATGACATTGAAAGAGATCTATAAAACGGCTGTCTTCCCAGGTTTGTGTTCCTTGTCATAAATAGATGGCATTGCTGCTTATTGGTATCACAGTTATCACTAAACAATAATATCATTGAGTAGCTTAGTGCTTCTGGGGTCTCTTCTGAAGACACTGAATTCCAAGGGAGCGGGATAATGCTCCCCCTATGAAAGAAGAGCCATTTTGTTATATAATGTTTCACAAGGAAGTAGAAATCATGAAGCAATAATTGAGAGTTGATACAATAATCAAGCAGGCAGGAGCAGATACAAGCAGCTGCAGTGGGTACATCTACAACACTGTGTGGGAGGGAGGAAGGAGATAAGACCCATTTAGTTATTCCCAACCACGTGGACCCAGAACCATGTAGGGGAGTGCTCCTTCCCTCCCATCGCGCCCCATCCCCCCTTCCAGGGGCACCAGCTTCTAAGTATCCTTGCCTCTCTGGAGAAACCTGAGCTCAGGAAAGGAAAAAAAAAACCCTAGGAAGCCCACCAGAAACTCAGATTGGCAGGAGCAGACAAATAGCTGCAGTAGGGAACTTTAGATGCTTTCAATAGTTTTTGTTCTGGACATTCCCTCCCCTGTGCTGACTGGCTGTTTGCTTCAGGTCCCTCACAGTCTCTTTGCCTCACTCTACCTGTAGTACTTACTCCCTGCCTTCCATCCCTCTCCTTTCTTCTCCAATATCCTTTACTCTGTTCCCTGCAGGTCCATTCTTCCTTCAGTTTTCTGTCTGTTTAGCCATCGCCTTCCTGACAAAAGCATTTCCACCAAAATTGTGGCAGTAACATGCCATTTGCAGACCAACATGCCTCTTGCTCTGCTGGCATTTTGTAATCCCCACCCCTCCTTGTCTAACTTGTCTGTTTAGATTGTAGAAGCAAAGACTATCTCTTACTGTGTACAGTGCCTAGCACACTGGGACCTAGATCTCAGTTGGGATGCATAGATGCTAACACAGTACTAGGAAAAAAAAAATAATGTAAAAGTCATACAGAAAATACAATTGTGTCTCTGATGTTAATCTCTGTACTGAGTCTTGATTAGTTTTATGTGTTAGTATATTGCCATCTTGACAAATTCTTGAATTGGCTTGGGGATAAGGTAAAGACTTATTCTGAGATTCTCTTTAATGACTTCTTTTGCGTCATAATACCATTTTAAAAACAAGCACAAGCTTTATCACGAAAGTAGATGATGCAATATATTGTTTCTTTCCAAATTAGGACCTGTACAGCCGGTCCTGGAAAGAAAGAGAATTTTTTTCTTTGTTGAGATATTTAAGCATTCAAACCAAAATGGATTTGGACATTCCCAACATAGAAAGTTCAGAAATAAGCTATTTCTTTAATAGTTAACATAACTGTAGCTGTAAAGTATTTTACCAAAGCAGTTTTACTTCAATTTCTTGTATATGTTTTAAAATAACTGTTTGATTTGACAATTGAGTATTAATTTTGCTGAATGATGAGGTGATTTTTCTATTAGTTCCAAGCTGGGTTTTTTAATATATTTTACAGTTTTTCTTTTGATATAATTTCAATTTGAGAAGGATATTATCTGAGTAGTAGTAAAACAAATAGTACCACAGGATGCAATAAGTTTTCAGATATCCATTTCAAATTAATGTCTGTGATTGTGAGCCAGTTGGGAGAGAGATTAATTTGCTTTTTCCTGAAACTTGTGGCTAGTCATGTTTGGGTTGTAGGCTGCTTGTTTCTGTTTTTTCCTCTTAAGAAGAGAGCAGAACTAAAAACATTATGCGAGGAATATAAGCCCTTGCTAATCCAAGCACTTATATATGTAACTATTGAAGTCAATGAGATGATTTGCATGCTTAATCATGTGCTTAACTTAAGTGCTTTGCTGGATCGGGGGCTACATATCATTACAATTGTTAAATTTATGTTTTTATACTGATCCTTAGAACTTGTAAAATGAGACGTCATCATTGGTATCATTCTGTATTTTGCATGATATATGCTAGTAGATGGATGGTAATGCAGAAAACTGCTCTCTTCTGTTAACATGAGCGTCAGACTACTTTTGTATTGGGGTGAGATTTCCAGTGAATTTCCATAGATACGAGGTTCAAATATTAAAAAACCATAAACAACTATGTGGGTGTATCAGAATGTAAGGTGCGGTTGGCTGCCTTTTTATTTTTATTTTTAAATACTTGTATAAAATCCAAAGTACAGAATAAAACCTCCCTTTTGTTCTGTGTAAAACTGATCACTTGGTTTTGTTAAATTTTCATCTCTTGTTTGAGTTAACTGGTCACCATTTTGCTTCACACCAAAGATCAGTGAAGTGGCACAGCAAAAAAAATTGCACTATATGCTCTATGTACACATTTACAGTCTGATCCTGCATCCATAGATGTCTAAGGAGTTTTGTCACTAACTTGAATGTGAGCAGAAGGAAGCCCTTATTTTCTGGTGATTCCTTATATCCATAACTCTCCTCTTTATACTGGAGCATATAAATTAGCAGAAATCGACAGTTACAAATCTGAAGTCCAACTTAGAGCTTGTGTACACTTAAAATGCTAGTGGTACATAGGATGACCAGACAGCAAGTGTGAAAAATCGGGACAGGAGGTGGGGAGTGATAGGTGCCAATATAAGAAAAAGCCCCCAAAATCGGGACTGTCCCGATAAAATCGGGACATCTGGTTACCCTAGTGCTACAGCTGGACCACTGCAGCTGTGCCACTGTAGTGCTTCAGTCTTGATGCGACTTACATAATGGGAGGGGTTCTCCCATTGGCTCGGTCAATGGAAGAATTCTTCTGTCAGCCTACCGCTGTCTACATGGGGACTTAGGGTGGCTTAACGCCGCTGCTCAGGGGTGTGGATTTTTTTTAGCCTGACCAACATAGTTAAGCCAACCTGATTTTTCTAGTGTAGACTAGGCATCAATAGGCAGGAGACAGGATGAGTGAGGTAGTATCTTTGATTGGATCAACTTCTTTTGGTGAGAGAGACAAGCTTTTGAGCTACACAGAGCTCTTCTTCAGGTCTGGGAAAGGTACAAAAATGTCACAGCTAAAGAACAGGAGTACTTGTGGCACCTTAGAGACTAACAAATTTATTAGAGCATAAGCTTTCGTGGGCTACAGCCCACTTCTTCTACTCTGAAACAGCTAAAGAGAAGGTGGAACAGGTTGTTTTGCATAAGTAGTTAACATATTGTAAGAGACCATTCAATGTGGAGTGGACAGTTAACACCGCTGCAGTCATAGGACAAAAAAAGGAGGATTAGTGGGTTACAGACTGTTGTAATAAGGCATAATCCAGTGTCTTTATTAAAACTGCTATTTTTAGGGTCTAGCAAAGTTATAAATTTAAGCATCTTTTAAATGTGTTGTGCAGGTTTCCTTTGAGGATGAGGCCTGAGAGGTCAGATATGGAGTGGTCTGAAAAGTGTGATATTGTGTCTTTGTCTTTTATAATTTTTTCTGTGTGAGTTCATTCAAGAGCACAGTGATTGTCTGGTTTCACCCACATACTTGTTATTGGGGCACATGTTGTGATAGGCATGTTCAGCACCTTTGTCTACATTTTAATTTAAGCCTGGGAGTTTGAATTCATAACTTTGCTAGACAGTAAAAATCATGGTCTTAATAAAGATACTGGATTTATGGCTTATTACTACAATCTGTAACCTATTAAACACCTTATTATTATTATTATTATTATTTTTTTTTTTGGTTCTATGACTGCATAGGTGTTAAGTGACCACTTCACCTTAAATGGTCTCTTACAATACATGATAACTACTTACGTTAAACAATCCGTTTCACCTTCTGTTTAGCTGTGACTCTGAATACCTTTCCCAGACCTGAAGAGCTCTGGGTTAGTCTACCCTGGCAATGCTCCCAGTACTCTAAAAAACCACCTCCACGAAGGGCGCAGCTCGCAGCGCTGGTGCGCTGTCTACGCTGGCGCTTTACAGTGCTGAAACTTGCTGCTCTCAAGGGTGTGTTTTTTCACATCCCTGAGCGAGAAAGTTGCAGCGCTGTAAATTGCCAGTGTAGCACAGAAGTTGATTCAATAAAAGATATTCTCTCACCCATTCTGACACCAACATGGCTACAACAACACTGCAGACAACTTAATACGAAACTCTTATGAGTGTATAAATTAATCCCACCTCTTTCATGGTAAAGGTTGTTTGTGTAGTACTGATATTGTAACATCATACATGCTGTCATAGACGCCAATTTTCTAATGTGTTGGAGGGGTGTTCCCCTCCCACCTCGCCCATACTCCACCCCTTCCCACAAGGCCCCACCGCCACCTTGCCTCTTCCTGTCCCTTCCCCGCTCCTCCTCCCTCCCTCACAGTGTCTCCTGCACGCCGCGGATCAGCTGTTCCATAGCGGGCAGGAGGTGCTGATTGACGGGAGGCACTGGGGGGAGGAGGAGGCTCTGATAGAGGGACTGCCCCCACCATTTTTTTTTCCCGTGGGTGCTTCAGCCCTGGAGTACTCACAGAACCAGCACCTACACCTGCTGCTTCTAATAAGCAATGCCCCTCTGCCATGTACATTGGCCAAACCGGACAGTCTCTACGCAAAAGAATAAATGGACACAAATCTGACATCAGGAATCATAACATTCAAAAATCAGTAGGAGAACACTTCAACCTCTCTGGCCACTCAGTAACAGATTTAAAGGTGGTAATTTTGCAACAGAAAAGCTTCAAAAACATACTCCAACAAGAAGCTGCTGAACTTGAATTAATATGCAAACTAGATACTAAGGCTTAAATAGAGACTGGGAATGGCTGAGCCATTACACACATTGAATCTATTTCCCCATGTTAAGTATCCTCACCTTCTTGTCAAACTGTCTTAAATGGGCTATCTTGATTATCACTACAAAAGTGTTTTTTCTCCTGCTCATCTTAATTAATTAGCTTCTTAGAGTTGGTAGGGGAACTCCCACCTTTTCATGTTCTCTGTATGTGTATATATATCTCCTCACTATATGTTCCATTCTATGCATCCGATGAAGTGGGCTGTAGCCCACGAAAGCTTATGCTCAAATAAATTTGTTAGTCTCTAAGGTGCCACAAGTACTCCTGTTCTTTTAGCAACACTCTGTTGAAATGCTGAAGTTAGTGTTCCCCACTACCTTTCTTAAATATATTTTTATTCATTAGCTTCAGAGCAAGTTTTCCTACTTGATGTATTTTGTTTGAAACCAGTAATGGGTTTTTTGGAACTTAAGTACAAAATCACTAAAGAGCTCTAGCTTGTTCTCTTCAAAAGAGACTTTTGCATAAAACAGCCTCCACTGTTTTAAATATCTTGTATATAATTCCATATATTTTCACTGTTAGTTACAGAAATATCTGTAATGGGAAATTATTCTGTCTGTTGAACCTAATCCCCTTATATTTGTGAAATCAAATCAATTTCTCACTAAAAGCAGCTCTTGAGGTATATGATTTAAAAAGTTAAATTAAAAAGACAAACATTTTTACAATTCTTTTTTGACCAATCTTCAGTTCAGTCCCTTTCTATTGGAAAACGTTTCCCCTGTCTTGGGATTCATTGGTACTTTGAGTACTACACTTGTATTTTTTTTTTTATTAAATTAAAAAATAAGAGAAGATAGAAGTGTCTGTAGTATGGCAATTTTGAAAATATCTCCTCAGCTATTGGATAGTAAAGATACTGATTATACTGAATCTCTCAGTATAGTTACTGGTTTCAGGAGTACCTTATTTTCACTAGATGTAAAAGTTGAAATTGGGAAGAGGAAGGAATTAAACACCTAGGCCTGGTCCACACTACCCCCCCACTTCAGACTAAGGTACGCAAATTCAGCTACGTTAATAACGTAGCTGAATTCGAAGTACATTAGTCCAAACTTACCGCGGGTCCAGATGCGGCAGGAAGGCTCCCCCGTCGATGCCGCGTACTCCTCTCAGCGAGCTGGAGTACCGGCGTCGACGGCGAGCACTTCCGGGATCGATCCCAGAACATCGATTGCCTGCCGCCGGACCCTCCGGTAAGTGTAGACGTACCTTGTTTGTTTTTTCTTCACAATAATAAATGAAAGGTAAAACCAAGTCCAAGTATGTGGAGGAGAAAACCACAAGCTTCTGCCATATTTATGCAAAGATAATTTTGGGACAAGAGGGGAGATGCAACAAGTTGTATATTCTTTTCTGAGGTGGGCCAGAATTGGAAATCTTCACTCTACTGAACTGAAGGCATTTGGATAAAATGGGACTTGGATCCCCATCATTTGTGGTTTTGATTTTTGCATAATCAAGACATGTCTCTTTCCCCTCCCCCCTACAATGAATTTTGATTGCTACCCATTTCTAATATATTAGTAATTTAAATCTTAATTGTAAAGACTTATATACATGCTGAAGTCTTTGCCATATTGAGGCTTTGAATATTAAAAAAACTGACTGTGGCTAACATTCTTATATATTAATATTTTGTATTTGCAGACTTGGGTTGGCAATAAAAGAAGAAAGATGAGCAGCAAGAATGTTGCAGAATCTGGAGGCACCCCACCCAGAACTGTTCCTAGCACCCCTACAGTGCCTCCAGAAGTAGCAGTCAGAAATGTGGTAAACATTGCTCGATCCCAAAGCCAGCAGTCTTCTTGGACATCATCTAACAATGATGTAATAGTAACTGGTATATATAGCCCAGCTAGTTCATCCAGCAGGCAGGGATCCACGAAACAGACTAATGCTTCAATGACTGAGATACATAAAAACTCTATTCAGAGGCCACCTGGAAAAAGTGATACAGAATTTCAGCAGCAGCATATCCCTATAGGACGACAAGCACCACATTGTAAAGGTGCTTCGCTGCTCCTGGGGGAAAAAACTATTATTTTGTCAAGACAAACAAGTGTGTTGAATTCTGCAAACTCCATATACAATCATACTAAGAAAAATTATGGTGGTTCATCAGTCCAGACTGCAGAGTTAGTGTTACCTCAAAAGCCAATAATATGCCACAGGCCATGTAAAGCTGAACCAGTGGGGTGTCAGAGGTTACACAAACCAGAACACACAGCCCTTGCATCACACATCCCATCTGGACAGAGAGCTAATGTTCGAGACCCTTCTTGTAGCACACAAAACTTGGAAATTCGTGAAGTTTTTTCCTTGGCAGTTACTGATCAACCTCAAAGAATTATGGGAGGAAATACAACACAGAAGCCTTGTTCGGTCGAAGGCAGTTGCCTGTCCATTGCAATGGAAACAGGAGATGCTGATGATGAATATGCTAGAGAGGAAGAGCTTGCATCTATGGGAGCACAAATACAAAGTTATTCAAGATTTTGTGAAAATAGCAGTTCCCTTCGAGTGGAGAACCAAAGCACAGCTTTGTCTGGACCAGGCAGAAATGTGAGCTGCAGTTCACAGATGGTGAATGCCAGGGACTTGCCTGACAATGTATTATATCATAACAGAGACTACCGCTTGCCTCCACGGACCTCATTACATACACCATCCAGTACACTGTATAGTAGTGCTAATCCATCAAGAAGTAACTTTTCTCCTCATTTTACATCTTCAAATCAACTGAGGCTGTCGCAAAACCAAAACAACTACCAGGTAATCTGTAAATTTATTTTTGCCTTTCAGATTTTCAAGACAGTCTTCTTCTGTGAAAGCTGAGAATGTAGACTAATATATCCTGATCCATTGATGAAAGTTTACCCTGTTCCTTGGCACTGTTTCAGGTTTTCTCCTACATGCTATGAGCTGAGTTTGGCATGTAGGGCAAATCATATCAGTCACTCCCTCCTTTTTGAGTGCACCCATCCCCTCTCCTTGAAATTAAAGTTTTGGATTCATTGTTAGAAATGGTAAGCATCAGTTCCTCCTCCTCTCCCCCCTCACCAAGCTACCATCTACTCTTTTGCTTCCTGTTTTTTTGATGGGGATTGGGATTGGGATCTCCTTCCAACTAGTCAGGGTGTTGGCAGACACCAGTTGCAAAGGTGTGAGTCCTTCACCCTTGCAGTTCAGTTTGCACCATTTGTGTTACAGGAGATGTAATGAGGGCATCTCCAGGACCTGGGTTGCATCTCATGTCCATAAAATATGCTTACAGAGGTAAAGAGAGAAGAGAAATGTGAGTGCAGGTTACTGGGGGGCAGAAGAAAGACCTGTGTCCAACAGTGGCTGGAGCATTGCAAACCATTGTGGATCCATTTGTTGGAGGAAGAGAAACTGCAGAAAGCATCAGAGTTGGTTTGAAAGTGGCAGAACTGCTGTGCTTTCCAGCATAGCACAGAGCCTGGAGCCTGAGTTAAGGTGCTCTTGATGATCATGATGAGGAGATAGCTTTGAGTATTGTCTCCTGACATGACATTGGTTGCTGTTCCTCTTTCAGAGGAACTGTAGTCTCCTAATGGTAAAGCTGAGGCATCCCAGAAGTTCAACACCTTCTAAATACTTTTCTCACTACTGTAGTTTAACTCTTCAAATAAATGACACTTTTCATCATAAGATACTACCAGAAATGTCACAGTTCTGTGGCAGTCGCAAGTTTTGAAGGCCCATTATGTGCTAGCATAGACCCTGTCCATAGTTTTTGTGACCTTTATGAATAGGAATTGCAAATCCTCCCAAGCAATCTCCTTGCCATTTTGGGTGCATGTGCTATGCTTATTTATCCTTTCTCTCCCTTAATGGATAGAGCTTTTCTCCTCTCGAGAGATGGTCAATTAGCACTTGCTGTTAAAGTGCAAATTTGGATCAGAATGTTATTTAAACAAAGTGCCTTTACTTAAGAAAAAACAGATTTTGTGAAAATGAAGAAAAGCCTGTAAACATATTTTTGTCTAGCCGTGAGCTGTTAAAAGCTGCAAAAGTGCAGGCTGTACAGCTTAAGAATTGGTAACTTGAAACTTCACATATCTAAATGTATTTTCTTGTTTTTCTTCACTGTTGTTGCAAACAAATGACATTCTTGGTTTAGTTCATGACATGGTGGCACTGGGAGATTCTTTTTGGTGTCTCCTCATCATTGGTCTTAGGAAACTAGATATCAAAAGTCCTCATTAACTTGTTAAGCATTAGGCCAGCTGTTCACTTGAGAAATTAGCAAACCTGTAACCAGCCTTCCCATAAAATGAATCTCCATTATTATTTTATAATCAGGAAGCTTGAATCAGTTTTTTTTCTTCTGCACAAATAGACCAGTTCTTCCTCATATTGCTGTAAGAAGACTTCAGACAGTATCAGCCTATTTCAAAGGATTCTTTTGTTCCTGGGAAAGGGAGTCTTTCTGTTTAGTCTTAATAGTATGGCTTTGTACTAGTTACCAGTGGTTCAGTATATTCTTTTCCAGAGTATATCCCCTAGGAATGCATCCCTTTTGAATGAAAACTGACTTGCCCTTTGTGTGCAGTGTAGTTGTAGCCATATCGGTCCCAGGATATTAGAGAGACATGGAGGGTGAGGTAATATCTTTTATTGGACCAACCTTCTGTTAGTGAGCGAGACAAGCTTTTGAGCCACACAGAGCTCTTCTTCAGGTCTAGGAAAGGTACTCCCAGCTTCACAGCAACAAGCAAGGTGGAACAGATTGTTTAGCGTAAGTAGTTAGAACATCTTTCTTTAGCGTAAGTAGTTAGAACATGTAAGAGATCATAGTAGCTAACAACTTATGCTAAACAATCTGTTCCACCTTGCATGTTACTGTGAAGCTGGGAGTACCTTTCCCAGACCTGAAAAGAACTCTGTGTGGCTCAAAAGTTTGTCTCGCTCACCAACAGAAGTCCAATAAAAGATATTACCTCACCCACCTGGTCTGTTTTGTTTCCCCTTTTGGAAGATGTTGAGACTCCTCATGCTAGTTCATGGTGCCTGCAGTATGGTAAGATACAGTATAATACAGATCAGAACATCCTAATCATTATAACTTGTACAGATTTATTACAGTTGTGTCAGAAAAACTAACAAATGCAATTGAACTATTACGATCAAACCTGGCTCCTCATTAGGCATTCCTTTTCATTCCCTTTGTTTCTATGGCTAGTGGGATGAAAACAAGGTGTATCCTAGTCAGTGGGCCTTAGAAAGGGACCAGTTTTGCCTCTGTATTTCCTCTGACTTTTGTGTATGTCCCTCATGAATGTTTTGCAACGTGCAGTTTTTGGCAAGGCCAGGAATTGGGGTGTCACTGTGACTAGTATGGCTCATAGATGTGTGTGCCAGTCTCAGGTCAGACTGTCAGAAAACAAGGCAGACACCCCAAACTGGTGGTATATTTTATTATTATATTTCACCAAGCCAGTAACAAGTGTGAACTCCTGGATCACTGTATTAATCTTAGCATGGAGCCACAGACAGTCCTCCTTAGGCTCTCCAACCCCTACTTTACCACCAAGACAAATTGGAATTTGTGATAAAAGGTTATTAAAACCAAAAGTCACTGCACATTAGATCACTCCTGACCCCAAAGGGCCAGTCACTTACCCCATGTCATTGGATGTTCTTGATCTCACACCAAAGTCAAAGCCGTACCCAATTTCTCTAGTAAACTAACTAAAGATGTATTAGCTAAGAAGAAGAAATGAGAGTTATTGAGACGTTAAAGCAGGTAAAATACATTACAGGTGAGTTAGAGTTTGAATGCCAAATGATGGCAGAGCTGTAGTATGCTAGTTCTCCTCCATAAGTCTCTCAGGGTTACCCAAAATGGCTTTGGTGATCTCTGTCCAATCACTCAGGATTCCCCCTGTCAGAATCCATCAGTCCAGAGATACTGGATCACTCCTAGGGTTTCTTCTTATAGCTGCTTTCCCCGGAAGGCAATCTGGCAACTTCCCATCATAGCATGAGCCCTCCCACAAACTTTCTGTGTTTAGTCAACAAAGGATTTTCCATTGTTGAACTTAACGACCTATACTTTGAAGTTAATGTGCTTCTTCATTTACAGTTCAATCCCGTTTGATGGGCAATTCAGTTGCACATGCATGCACAATGCATTCAGTTACAGCAATCCAGACAATCTTTCATTAGTTTTCATGAACAATGTGATAGCCAGAAACAATCCTTCATTAGTTTTCATGCAGTTTCACACATTAAATAAATTCTCATCTACACGCTAGGGATGTAAAATACTAAACAGTTAACTGGTAAGCATTAGTCTTAACGGATAACGCAGCCCAACCATTAACCCCCAGCCCTGGGCGGGCTGGCGCAGCCCCAGCTGCACCAGCCTGCCAACCCCAGTGCCTGGTCTGATGGAGGAGCCTGAGCCCCGTGCTAGCGGGACCAGCCCCAGCAGCAGCCCTGAGCTGCACCAACCAGCTGGAGCAGGGGCCTCCGGCCCCTCTCCCTTTAATCGGTTAACCAGTTAAACAATATAATTTTAATGGTTTAACTGGTTAACTTTTAAAATGATATTTATATCCCTATTACACACTAATACATCTGTCTGATCTAGGGTTAATTAATGGGCGCAGGGTCAAAGGCACCATGAAAAAAACAAAACAAAAAACACCACAGCTGTTCCTCCTGTGATGCTGCCTAGCAGGTTGCCAGCTCAGTCCAAGGCAGCAGGCTAATTCACTCCAATGCTAATAGAAAGCAAGTGTAATTTATTTAACAAAGAACAGAGATTCCAATGATAGCAAGCACAAATACTGGAAACAGAGGGTTACATATAAAATAAAATTGCCTACTAGAGCCTAAACTTAACTAATAAGACATTGTGTCATAAGAACAAAAGCTCACCCAACATCCTTCCAGTGTATTACAGCCAGGGTTGTGTGTTTTTTTTTTTGTTTGTTTTTTTTTGTTTTTTGTTCATGAAGCAAGCCCACTGTCAGCGTACTCACTAGGTGAAAATTATCATGTCTCCTTGCATTCTTCTGATATACCAAACTAATTCTTTGATCTTAGTCATAAACTGGAAACTCTGCTGTCGTGTATTTCTTCCTGTAGTTTTTGTGGTCTCTTGTAAATTTTGCAATCTTGATTAGCTGGTGATACCATGTTCCATCAGACTTCTATTGTAAGACACACAAATGTGTCCTACGAAGATAAGTGTCTCTTATCTCTTGCCTGAACAGAACCAGTTTATCACCTTCTGGTGACCTGTCTTGTGTGCCTTAAAAACAGTTTTCAGCATATATACATAACTCCATACATATTACTGTACATACACTTTTCAGTGATGATCATTGTGAAAGAGGCTTTCGGTAGAGACCTTAAATGACACTCTTTGAAATAAGTATGTAGGTACTAGACCCAGGGGATCCCAAACCATATTAAGCCCTATGCTTTCTGCCATTTGGCACCAAGAGGTTCCTGAGTCGCAAGCAGCCTACCACTTCCTCAAGTGGGGCTTCTAGAACATTTACCACTTAACTTAACTTATGCACTACAGTAATTTATGTGTTGATTATTTTCTTATATACATTTTTGTATGTGGCAAGGATCCACTTTTAAATTTGATTTGTTTTTAATACCTAAAACAAAAAGACACGTGTCTAAAGCTCTGATCATCCTTCAAAATCAAATGCATTATTATATAGTAGAGCACCCCAACAAGCCAATAACCAATTCCATCTCTGACCCTTTCCCCACATAGGGTG